AAAAAATTAAATACAAAAAATATTAATTTAATAAGTGTGGAAGATAATAAAACAAGATTTGTTATGTGCTGTAGAAAATTGCGGAACTTGAATATATCTTCTCTGCATATGTTTAGAAATGTCCATAGCAAAAAGTTGATAATGGTCTAAAACATTTTAAAACAAGCTGTCCCCTTAAACGACTCAGGAGTTTGTTAGTTTCTGACGCTGTGTGCCATTGAATGGATTCTAACTCAGAGTGACTCCGTTGGAGAGAACAGAACTGCTTCACAGTGTTTTCTTGGCAGATCTTCAGAGATTTTTTTCCGCGAGTGCTGGTGGGTTTGAACTGCCAGCTTTTCAGTTAGCAGTCAAGGGTTTAACTATTGAGCCACCAATGCTCCCTATAATTAGTTTCTCAACTACCATTAAACCAGTTCTCACTTCAGAGCCACTTTCTAGGGCAGAGTAGCAGAGCGCTGCTCCCTGGGGTTTCTAAGGCGGTAACTCTTACAAGAGCAGAATGCCTCATCTTCCTCTCTCAGAGCTTAGCCTGCTGTGCCACCAAGGCTACTTATAACTAACCGAGCCGCCGTATTTTCCTCATTGCAGAGTCCTGAAAGATGCATTTTAACTACACATCTTGAGTCTCCCCCCCTTTGCTCCAAATTTGAACAGCCTTCATGGAGGGGCACATTCAGTCTCCATGGGCGTCTAGATGGAGCAGTCCTTTTTCCCTCGGCAACGGTTAGAATTTCCTGCGTCAAGTAGAATCATTCCCGTTGAGTAATTGCGTGGCAGTGTATGTCTGTAAGGTTGGGAAACCTGAATCACCACAAGTGTTTATGAAATCAGGAAAGAGGCAAAAACCTTCCGACAGAAACGCAGTTTGCCCTTCTCCACATACCCAGTTCCTCCCCTGACGTGGGACGTGGGAAGCCGTGGATGCTCAGGCATCTCTTCATGTCCTGAGCACCACAGCCCCGAAACAGGTTCTTGTCTGTCCCTGGGCCAAGTTGATTCTATCGCGCTCTCTCTTCTCCAGGATGATGCCAGCAAGCTAGCCACCTGTCTGAAGATGGAGGTCTCTCACGGAGCGGACTTTGCAGCGTTCCTCCTACAAGGCAAGCCGCGCTACAGACCTCAGATTTGCCACCTCGTTTAGATGGTCACCTTTTGTCAGGAAACATTTAGTCAGAACACACCACGGGAGAGCAACTTTTCCCCAGGTTGGCAGGTATTTGAGTTAGAAGCTAAGTATGTCCCTGTGGCAGGATAAATTCCCACAACTGTGCCAATATTTGTCATTCTCTGAAAGAAAGGTCAGGTGAATGCTCTTGGGGGCCTCTTTCCCAATTCTGATCTTTTCTTAGCCACTCACCCTCCCAGTTACCGATTCTGCGCTTGCCACCTTCCTCCCCAGGCGAGCATAAGTCTAAGACCAAAACATTGATGACATTTACCACTTGGAACGTAGAAAACCCAGGGATGGGGCAAAGCCGGCAATTGGTTCAAAGTGGTATTGCATCAACACGGTGGGGCTGCGAAGCAGTGTTTCCCTGAGACAGCAGTGGCTCGAGGGGACGTGCTGTGGTGTGCAATAACGATTGCAGAACTGAGTCGCCAGCTTGTCAAGGTTGCTGTTTGGAAGGTGCATGGTACAGAGGCGGCTGCCAGCAGTTCTGAGAAGACAGGCCGCCTGCTTGCAATTGGTTACTCAATGGGTCCCTGGTTTCCCAATGCAGGAGCTGGAGATATTTGGCTGGACGTGTATAAATTGCCCAAGGAGACTTGGCTCAAGGAACTGGAGCACCCTATCAACACTCTAACTCTAAAGAAAAGAGGCAAAACACCGCACCTGGTAGGAGAGAGCTGCCTGCTCCAGGGTCTCTTTCTTCCCAACCCCTGCCTTAGCCTCTAGCCGATTGCCTGACTGGGCCGTCAAGAGGGACACAGCAAGGACGATAGGAACACGGTCTCCCCGATCAAGTCACAGGATATTAAACAATTAAAGTACGTTTGTTAGTGGGAACCTCTGCATGCCCTTGTGTGGGAGTCGCCTCTGTCCAGAGAACACCATCAGCATTTTTCTGCGAGGAGGGTCTGTTATGTTCTGTCAGCTGCCTCAGAGATGGAGCTGTCCCCGTCCTTCATCGAAATCATTCGTTCACGCCTCCCATTCCAAAGAGCCCTGGTGGCACTGTGTGTTAGGTGCTGGGCTACTGACCACAAAGTTGGTTTAAATCCACCAGCTGTTGCTCACGAGAAAGATGAGACTGCACCTGTAACGATCGACAGTGGGAAACCCTGTCCAAGGTTGCTTTGAGTTGGAAGGGACTTGATGGCACTAGTTTGGGTAGGTTGTTTTC